GCGGCTGGAACTGCCACTACTAATGTGTACAGTGACAAAAAGTTCAAGACAACGATGAGGGCAATGCAGACCTCTTGTTGCAGCCCGGATGAAGTGATTTTTAGCACCAATTGTGAAGAATCGTTATACTGTCATCTTTTGTGTGGACTAATTTTCCAGGATCAAGTTCAAGTTGTGTCTTCTACATTTGCCCATGGCATTGTCCATGCTTTTCGAACATTTGAAGGTAAGTGGGAAGACCTTGTTAATGACGTTAGACGAGGGGAACTATGTAGCTGGATAAAGACTCCGTCACTTCGAACAGCAATGTCAAAACTGCTTAATCCCAACCCTGGATTGGCCAATATAATTTATAACAAGTGCATGGGGTTAAGTAATTGGTACGGAGTGATCCAAGAGCTATTTCCAAATACAAAGTACATATACGGGATCATGACAGGGTCCATGGAACCTTATCTGAAGAAACTGAGGCACTATGCAGGAGATCTACCTTTATTAAGTGCAGATTATGGGGCTTCTGAAGGTTGGATTGGAGCAAATGTCAACCCCGAATTACCCCCAGAATTGGCCAAATTTGCCGTTCTTCCAAATATTGGCTACTTTGAATTCATTCCTTTGAAAGAGGATTTGATTGTAGAGCCCCAGCCGATAGAGCTAACTGAAGTCAACATCGGTGAAGAGTATGAGATCATTGTAACCAATTTCGCAGGTATACATTCTTCTCTATTTTTCTCTGTGTGTGTGTGCTCGCGTTCGCATGATTTGAACTTAGTTACAAGGGACTAAAATGCTGCATCCTTTCCTAGGCTCTAACCTTATCACTTTTTCTTATGAGCTCCAATAATTTATTGTTGAAATTCCTAGGTTTTCTATATGCTTCCCATGTGTTTGTGGGATAACGGGAAGGCCTATTGCAATCTTTTTGTAGGTCCACTCCTTCCCCCATACCACCCTTCTTTCAAATATTAGGCCTCCTCTCTGTTCTTATATTCAATAGGTCACATGACTAAACCAGCCAGTTTAAATGTGCTTTAGCTTTTTATTCCTGCAATCCATGTGTATGTGTGCAGAACTTGTGGTTCAAGGGAATCTTCAATCGAGGCTTAGATTTTATTATTTTATGTTTAGTTATAGAGGCTGGCTAATTTCGTTGATGAATTCGTTCTAACTATTACTTCCTATTATTTTACACTGTCCACGACATGTGGTTCTTTTATAATACAAGTCACAACACGAGCAGATTAAGCATCATATTTAGGAAACAGTATCATTTTATTCGAACTCCGCAAGTTTAAATGTACAAGCTTCCACATATGTTGACTATTACAGATAAGATTGATTGCATTGTTGCGCATATGTTTTGATGTGCATATTACTTCTTTTACAGGATAAACTGTGTATCTTGCTGTTCTCCATGATAATTGACCCAAATTTGCTATTTATAGTCTGCTATCGACTTTAAAATATTTGCACATTATATCAACTCATTGGATAATCAATATAAATGTATCTGCATATAGATCTGTCGTATATATTGAGTATGAATTGAATGGATGAAGTTTCTTGGTGTACTCACCGATGTATATATTTTATATTCTCAAGATGGATTAGTTTATATGGCATTGACAACCAAGACATAAATATTGTTATTATATATGGAAGACAAAGGTTAGGTGAGCATCAGACTAATTTATGTTGAGAACTTAAATAAAAAAAAATAAAAAAAAATGGTTTGTGAACTTAAATGGTTGCACTTGAGATGTCTTCAGCTATCCTTAAAAGAAAACACTTGTACGTTGGAAAATCAAAAAGTTTGTCACCTAGAATTTCCTTCCTTTGAATTTTTCTTTACCATTTATGTTTTTGTGTACAAAGAAAAAGGGTGCCTTATTTAGTAGATCTCATTTTCTTTTGTAAATGCATCTTAATAATTCAAGATGTGGGCTCATGTTATTTTCGCCTGCAAGAAAAAGAACTCGTGATACTTTCCTATTGTTCAGATTTATTAAAAAAATCTTCAATTTTCGGGGAACACAAGAACGCCTAGGGCCCCTCTGAATAAGGAGGTCGAGTCCTATAGAATTCGGTAATCTTGGAGTCTAGTAAGTCTGCTTGTGACCCATAAATTGTGTGGCTTAGAGAATTGGCATGGATTAGTATCAATCATATTGCTCTTAAAATCTCACTTGATGAAATTGTACATATGCAGGGTTATACCGTTATAGGCTAGGAGATGTGGTCAAGGTCAAAGGGTTCCACAATTCGACTCCGGAACTCCAATTCATTTGCCGGAGGAATCTTCTACTTACAGTCAACATCGACAAGAATACGGAGAAAGATTTGCAGCTGGCTGTAAAAGCAGCAGCCAATCTGCTGGAAGAGGAAAAACTTGAAGTAGTCGATTTTACTAGCGGCATCGACTCATCAACAGAACCTGCACATTATGTAATATACTGGGAAATAAGTGGCGAAGCAAGCGAGGAACTTCTTAAGGAATGCTGCAATTGTTTGGACAAATCATTTCTTGATCCAGGATATGTTAGTTCAAGGAAAGTAAAAACCATTGGAGCACTTGAACTAAGAATTCTGAAGAAGGGTACTTTTCACAAGATTTTGGATCATTTTGTGGAATTAGGTGCTGCTGTTAGCCAATTCAAAACACCTCGTTGTGTGGGGACAAAAAACCAGACACTCTTGCAAATTCTACGCCATAATGTTGTCAAGAACTACTTTAGTTCTGCATTTTAGTAGTCGTGAGTTTGTGCAAGTTGATGTCAATTGTCTCATAATAATTCAGCTGTCCTAGATTTGACAGTAGTGCAAGTCTATACTTCTAATAGAGAATAGTAGTTCTAGTTTTCCATCTTCTTTTGTTTTAATATTTTTTCCTTTTGTTGTGTTGTGATATCAATAGAATAATTTTAGTGGCATAACCAAGATTTTCACGGAGGTGGGGGAGAAAAAATGTTGAAGGAGCTAACGAACTAATTCTTTTGATTAATCTTAGTAGATGTAGAAACAGACAAACGAGATGTAAATAGTAGTAAAATTGATGAGAAAGTGTTTGCAGAGAGAACATAATATCTAAAAGAACCTTAAAGACGAAGACTTTGTGTTGTAATTTGTAACTCGTATCGAATGAAATACATGTTTACTGGACTAAATTGGTCAGAGCAGTGCAGATCGATGGCATCCATCAGTAATGTTTTAATTGAAAAAAGAAACTATAACAATAATATAGTTTATAGAGTAAATTTTAAGAGTACTTAGAATAACACTTAAACCCTTGTTTGATCCCCCATTATTTTTAAAATATATATTTTTTTCTTTTTTTTAACAATACATTCTTCAATAAAATAATATTAAACACAAATCCAAAATTTTTCTATATTTTTTAATCACATATTTTTCATCAATTCACTGTTTAAAAATGCAATCTTAGTGGCTCAAACAGGAATATCTTCAACTTTATTATTTTTCAAAAATTCAATTATGCTCTAGATGTCATTGTTCTAGATTTTTGACTTCAGATAGCCTATAGAAGCTGCTCTTGACATAATGTTGGAGCTGCCTTATTTGTCCACATTCACTAGGTTTTGGCTTTAACCTTTTAGGTCTGGCATTTTGGTCCGCAATTTGGATGATTGATTATTGATTAAGACATATGCTAGACTGCCAATTATGCACTAATTGTGTATTATTAGTTACTGTTTCATGATTTATTAGCATTTTGTATTTCATAAGTAGCATCAAACTCTACTTTTAGGGATGAAAGACGGAAAAAAGATCAAAGTATAAACTTTAGTGTACTCTATACATAAAGGAGTATAAAGTATGACATTTAAACTTTAAGATGAGGATGTTGATACAATAATGAACGATATTAACAATATTATAGTAAGAAGAAGATTTAAATGATTAATAATATCATGTATATTATAGGTTTAGAGATTTAAAATATTCAAATATTGATGTAAATGATTAATAATTTAATGTGTCAATTTGTGAGAATGTACTATGGTGATGTAGTTTGTTCTAGTAGATTAGAATTGGACGTTGGACATTGTATGAAATTTCATGATCATACTATTTTCTTGATATTTTTTAACCTTATACTAATTTATTTTTGCAATTACTTTAATTTGATGTCTATTTTTTGATTAAGAAACTTTAAATATAAATATGAATGTAAAATATATTAAAAAAATAGCAAGTCAACGTAACTCAATAGACGTGGTAACGCAACTTGATCCACTTTACACATTTACGTCCTGTTAGTTGCTCTCGCAAGCTCTGGCTTCGACAGATTTGTTTAAATTAAGAAGTATTGGTTCAACCGATTAACAAGCATGGGATGAGGATGTATATATTTTAACAGATATAAATTGCTTTCATAAAAGAGACCCGCCATTAGCTAGCATAAACTCTTTATCCAAGATGTTGGGTTGGAGATAAGATTTTCTAAGATTATCCAATTAATTTTATATAAAAATTCTCCAGGTTTCAAAGCAACTTGATTTTTGTTTGTATTAGTTACAGTCACGCTCATAATATAGTGTTTGTTTGGTAGGGATTTTGTTAATTGATTTTTTGACCGTTAGAAATAAAGTGGGTCCTATCTATGCGAGAAAAATTCAAAAATAACGATTGAAATAGTGAAATAATGGTCAAAAAATTAATTTTAATTGGATTTTAAACTGTATCAAACATGCTCATAGTTAACTATAATAATACTCATATTTTAAGTACAAAACTTTGCCACTAATGACACGGAGCATCCATTTTATACATTAGTTTTTCTCCCTCGAAATCACAAACTTTAAGTTTGAATCGAAGGCAAATAAGAAATTTCAGTTTCTCAATTTTCCCAAATTAAATTTAGACCCAAACTCAAGTTATAAAATGTTAGATAACCTCAGCTGTTGTACATACGGAACATGCCATGTCTTGTATCAAGAAACTGATTCATCTTGGAGAAAAGAACTGCAAGGAACTCTCCCATGAAGATTAATGAACTCGAAGAGAAAGAAAGAAAGAAAGAAAGAACCCTAAAATTGTGGGATTGTGGAAGTCCTTTATATGACTCGTATGAACTGGTTTCTGTCAACCATATAATTGAAAGACATTTCATGGTATTTCCTTATCTAAGTAAATCAAGAAATGTGGATGAATCAAGTCTCATTTCATCGTCATCGTCATCGTCATCAGTTAATCAATCAAAACCCAACAAGGCTGCGGGTCCTAGCAAGTTTAGGGGATTCTCTTTGGTTAATTTCTTGAGTGATCTTTTAGAGAGAAATTTGTGGAAGAAGAAGCAGCTTGATGGTGAAAGAAAAGTGAATAATAAGCCCAAGAAGCAAAAAATGGGGATTTCTCCGAGTAGCCAAATTTCTCATACAAGAAAGTCGAACTACATTAATTTAGTAAAAAGGCGCGGTCATAGAATTTCTACTAGGATTAGTTAATGGAAGATAACGCATATTGGGTATATGTAAGAAATTCTTGTTCTCTCCTTAATTAACTTCAATGAAGCTATTTATATTTTCTGTATGAATTTTCTGCATAATCAGTTCTAATCTGTAGAAAGTTTACGTAAAAATTCAACAGTTCTCAAGCTTGTGTTGATGGGATTTGTTTTGCTCCATTATTGTTAACTTTTAATTCCAGTTGCACATGGAACATGTAATGTCCCTTTTAGTATCTAGGTCATATGTTTAATCATGGAAAGACAACAGTCTCTTAGAGATCTTTTTCTTGAGAAATACTAAATAGATCAACTTCTTAAATTAATTTCAAGCAAAAAATATAGAGATTTTAATTTCAATTACACCATTGAGATTTACTGTTCTTGGAGAAAGATTTAAGTGAGAATTTAGTACGATTTACTGTGGACGCGTGCACATCATGGAGATGATACTGCAATTGTGGAGAAATTTTCGAACAAGTTGAACCGACCCGCCTACAATTAGGTACAGTTCAAACCCACAAATTGGTGTCTTAAAATTCAATTGTAGACAGGGCTAAACAAAATTTCAAATCGAAGTAATCGAATTGGACCCGAATCAAATCGAGTAATTCTTCTTAAGTTAAATACTTGAACGGGTATCTGAATCGAGAACAGATGAGTTTGATTTGATTCTCGGTTCTAGACCAATAATCGAAAAAATCAAATAAGAATCGAATCTTCCTAAATTTTTTATCTTAAATAAGCCAAATTACTTTTTTCTAAATAAATTGGCTAACTAATTAATTTAACCCAAACCTAAAATATGACTTTTCTATATCTAATTTTCTGTCCAGGCCCAACTTAATCAAAGTGACATAAGTTTTACCAAAGTCTTTTATTCTACAATATTGTCATTTCTTTCGCTCTAGAGAAATCGAATTAGAAGCTCGGCCGATCTTCTCTTCATTATTATGAGCTCGCTACTTTCTCTTCTTGTAATTTTAATAGTCAAATCTATGAAAAATTCAACAAAGAGACTCAAAAAAAATATTATGGGATTTGATTGTGTTATTTTGTAAGAGCTAAAATTGAACGTATCATTAATTAAATTAATGTGCGCTGTTATAAATATTAAAAAATAAATTATTGTATGGAACTCGAGGAAACGAACCGAGCTGAATTCGAATGATTCCATAATTAAATTTGGATCCAACGGTTCCATTTACTAAATATCCGAAAATTCGGATTAGGTTTGATTCTCTTTAAAACCGAAAGAACTAAATTGAATAGAACCATGTCTAGCCCTAGTCGTAGAGGAAGTGTATGTTAATGAAAATTGTAGCTCAAGCTATCCTTGGTGGATCTACGGTCTAGTCAAGCATATGTTATTTTAAATTCTTTATTCCGATATTACTATCAAATGCAAAGGAAAATAAATGCATTTCCATATACACTAGCACATGACGGTGTATTCTTGTATATTTTTTCATTGAAAGTGTTGGAGATAAGATTATCAAATATTATTTGTATTAATTTTAAATTCTGAATTTTCTTAAATTAAAAAAAAAATCTAAAACCAAACTCATATTAAAAAATGCGAGAACATCTCATGAAGACTAATGAAATTGAAGAATTGAACAAAAAGACAGAAGAAGAAGAGAGGTTGGTAAAATTATGGGACTGTGGGAGCTCTTTATATGACTCTCATGAACTGGTCTCTATTAGGCCATTTACTTGAAAGAAATTACTTGATTTTGCCTTATCTAAGTGGATCAAGAAATGTAAAAGAATCAATTGTGATTTCAAGGCTGCAGATTCCAGCAAGATTAGAGGGTCATCTGTGGTTAAGTTTTTGAAGGATCTTTTGGAGGGAAACTTGTGGAAATGGAAGAAGAAAGATGGGATTTTTCGGAGTGTGAGCAAAAGTTCTAGCACAAAAAAATCAAAGATCAGTGTAAAGCGTGTTTTAGATGCGAGCGGTTCTAAAATTTGTACTAGGATTAGATGAAGGAATAAATGTGACAAAAGGTTGAATTAATGGATCAAAATTTCAAGAAAAAATATATAAAAATTCATTTGTTCTTCAGTTTTTTTTTTTTTTTTCGTCCTCGCAGATTTCTGTTCTTTAAATGTATGTTCCTTGGTTTTGTTTTGCTCCTTTTAAATTCTTAATTCAAGACTTGCACATGGAACATGTCATGTCCTCTTTAGTCATATGGGTTAATCAAGGAAAGACATGACAGTATCTTACAGGATTTATTTTGCTTTAGTTTAATTCTCCAGTTAATGGATTACACATGAGATGATCCTAAAATGGGATGGGGTACGGGGACAGGGTGCGGATTTGGTGCTCCTATTGGACGGGGTGCCGGTGGGGCCCCCTGTTTGACTAGAATTATTCTGCTAAAATCGATTTACAGTTGTTGATAAGATATAAGTGAGAGGGATTTCCCTCTTCTTCTTTTTTTTGTATTGTTTTTTTTTTTTTTGATTTCCCTAATTATTGGATTATACATGAGATGGTTTATCAATTATTGTAGTCGACGAAAGAGCTAGGTTAGAGATAGGTTTCAATCAATTGGCTTCCACGTAGAATTTGTACTATATATCGATTCATTACTTTGACAAAATTATTAGGTGATAAATATTTTCTTCAGTTATCGCATTCAATGTGGGATCACTAGATATGACTTATTGATAGATCAAAGAGAGAGAAATCTCTCCACTTCTCAACGAACGATCCAATTGAGTAACTTCTCCAATTATTGTATTTTACATGATATGACTAGATCTTGATTTCTTGTTCTCGACCCTAAAAAAAAAA